GATTTGTTCCTATTTCCCTGTCCAGTAATAACCCTTGATGGGGCCTGAGAAGAGAGCACTTTGTGACCCTTAGAGTTGTTGTTGGCTTGACGCCCAGCTCCTACAGACTTGTGAACCACAACACCACACTCTGCCTTGAAGATGCACACGCAGGGACACATACCCACGCGCACACATGCACCACACAAACAAACACACACACGCACGTACACACACACACACGCACGTACACACACACACACACAGACAATTCAGTATGTGTGTGGTATGTGTGCTCTTAATTGTTGTTGCTGGAAAATAATTTGTTTATTCTCAACAGAACAAAATTGAGAGAGGTGGTACTCGAGGATCTCCTGAATGTATTGAAGACGATGTGTCAGTTTCACAATCATCTACAGCAAGTAACAGAAGAGGGCAGCAGACTCAAGCACAGTATTATATCAAGAACCCCTGGCAGGGATCCTTGTTTTGTGTTTCTTCATTTTTGGGATGGGCTCATTTTGTGTAATCATTGCGTACTTGATAGATTAATATATTTAAATGATGTAAGAATAATAGTACTTTCTGGTCAATATCTAATACTGATCAATATCTAATTCAAATAAAATGTTATTGGTCACATACATGTGTTTAGCAGATGTTATTGCGGGTGTAGTGAAATGCTTGTGTTTCTACAGTGCAGTAATGTCTAACAAGTAATATCTAACAAATTCACAACAATACACAGAATACACACTAATCTAGAGTAAAGGAATGGAATTAAGAATAGATAAATATTTGGATGAGCAATGTCCAAATATTGTAATGCAGTATCTGCAAGGGTATTGTATTGCAGTATCTGAATCACCTCATGAGGCTAAGACAAGTCTACTCTATATGAGGCTCCTTCTGAAGTGATCCTGCTCTTACAACTCAACTGTATTGAGTTGAATCTGCTGCATCTTCATCAAAATGTTGAAGGTCAGAGTGACAAAAACAAACGCTCATTGACACATTTTGACAACGAATCTTCATCAGAGCACACATTATCTAATTTTTGTATACAGAAGCCATACGGACGCACTTGTGTGTGGGGACTGGGGAGATTTGTCTCCACGTGGCTGGCCTGTTGATGAGGGACTGATTAAGCCTGTGGTTGTGGATGACACTGGCTGCTGCTGCCTGTTAGTTCCCTATAGACCCAGACTGCTGCTGAGGCTCAAAAGGCCCCTGTTGTCATGGGAGGAGCGACTGATCATGGCAGTACTGCTGTTGAGGACCGTCCCTGTTGCTCTTTCATACCCATTCTGGGTTCCCTATCCAGTATCTAGTATCTATAATCCCTCAGGATAACCCCTAGTGGACTGGCACTCCACAAATATTCTCAGGGTGGGATTCACAATAGATTGTCGGGTGGGAGTAAGTAAGTTGCTGAGGGAGAGATAAGAACATTATTTGAATACTGTAAAACACTTGTTCCCTTTGGCTCTAAGATCAAAGGCTTATTATTCCTTGGCGTGATGAAACTACAATGGCTTGAAATCACTGGATCGTTGTCTATTCGAACCCATATTGTTATGTGAAACTGCAGTACTCAAATAAGATTCAGTAATCCAGTAACATTATCTGAACATGTAACTGCAACCCTCATGTCCTCCCTTTGAAATACTAATGTCTAGGATTTGTTAATTTCTTAGTGATCTTCCCATAGTGACTGCTTGTAATCGGGCTCCACAACGATGAAGCATTAATACTGTTGTCATCCCAGAGGCTGGTGTTGTGAAGGTGAGGGTAGTGTCTCCCTCCTCCCTCATCCTACAGTCTTCCACCCAGGTCCTGTTGATGTACTGCTTGTCTCTCACTGACATGCAGTCATTTTTTACATGACAGACAAAACGGTAGTTGCATCCCAAATTGCACCCTATTCCCTAAATAGTGCATGACTTTTGACTAGAGTCTATGGGCCCTGGTAAAGAATAGTATACTATATAGGGAATAGGGTGCCATTTGGGATGCATGTTTTACGTTTACATTTTACATTTTAGTCATTTAGCAGACGCTCTTATCCAGAACGACTTACAGTTATTTTGTGGTCTGCTGCCTTAGCTCTCCTGTTCCTGGTCAGCTCATAGTCAGGGCTGTGGAGCATAGGATACTAACTACCTCCCCAATCTGAGCCACTATCAGTTAATGACTGAAGGTGACTGTGAGAGAGCTTAAGATGAAGGTGAACAAAATGTCACAGGTATGATTAATGAAATGAAATGAGATCTGAAATTAAATGTAATGAGAACCTGAGAAGCCTTGCCTTAAAATACATGCTTAAAAATTGTCTTTAGCCTCTACTTCACTCTTCCTGCTCAAATTCAACCCATATCCTAAAGCATATCAAACCAGACTTTCCAGAACACTGCACTTTGTTCTCCCACCATCATTCACGTTTTGTGTACAGGAAATAAGCACAGCATGTATGAAATACTGTTAAACCAACTTAAAATACAATATCCTAAAGTGATGCTTTTGGCCCAGTGAACAATTTAAAAAAATCTACTTTTACCGTCCATGTCAGGGTAAAATATGTTATGGTATTGATATTCAGGCTCAAGGTCAATATGATTCAAAGTATTTTTGTAAGTAATGCATGAGCATTTGTATTAATTCAACACAGAGATTATTTCTTCTTCTGAATGTCATACAGATTTACAAAAGATGAAGCTCTTAGTTCCAGCTTGTGATTTAACCACATTTGACAATGCAGCACACTATCCGCATGATAAGATGACAGGATGACAGGATGACAGTCCCTCTTCCTACCAAGCTTCCTCAGGGATGATTGACTTTCAAGAAGGTTTAATCAAATTAAATGTCATATCTTTGCAAATTTGCCTCTGATTAAATGTTTCTGGATTATTCTATACAAATTGATTTCCGTAAAGGATGATTTTGACAAACTATACATACAAAGTATAGGAAGCAGTTCCATTGTTTATTATAGTACAGGATTGAATCATTACAATGACATCTTAAACACAAGTCATGTGGGAGGGAGGGTGGATTAAAGGTTTCAAAAGTGTCCCTGAATTGGCAGGAACCTGTAGTGTTGCTTCCCATGTTGCCAATCCCTGTGAAAAGTTAATGTAAGCAGGATTCGTAGGGAGCTGGTGATGAAACTATGCTGTAACTGTTACCAATGTGCCATACTTGCGAAGTGCAAGCCCTCCTTTGAAAGCATTTCTCTCTATGATGTAGGGTCAGATATCTCAAACCTTCTTGTACAGCAGTTGCAGAATAATGGAAGGCAATTATGCTCAAAAAGGGGCAATGCTTTTGCAGCAGAAAATATTATTTGTATTATTTTCCATAAATGAAAATGGGAAAGATGTGCATATTGTCACCATCCACACACACAAACATCCGTTTGTGATAGCATGCATCAGTATTTATTTGGTGTTCCGTGTTTCATTTTTCCATTATTCCAAATCTTTAAGAACTTCTCAAAAAGCAACAGTACTCTCCCATATGATTATAATAGTTCCATTTCAATTTACTAGTGCTGGTCTCCTGGAGAGAAATTATACAATAACAATTGGACTACAATAGCAAGTGGACTACATTCCTCAACAATGTTGTTGATAACACCAGATGGCGTTTCTGCTGCTATCAGATGGTTAATGTTGTCAGAAATAGAAACTGTGAATGAAGCAAACAAACAAAAAAACAAAAAAACGTGGGTCTTATACTATCTCCAGTTTTCTGCATTATTTGGGGAATGGAATAGAGTAAAATTATAATATATTAGAATAGAATAGAGGTTGCAGGTTAGGTTACACACGTCGAGAAAGAATAGACGTAGAAAGGTCAGACTACTGCAGGAAGTTTTCATGAAATTCATGACACGCATATTACAAATGCAAATAATTAAGAGGTTATGTGCACAAAAGCTGCAACACGTGCAATAACAAGAACATTGTAAGCACAGAGGTAAGGGGATTCTTTTAAACCCTTGGCAACAGACATGCTGAAAAACATGTTTTAAAAGGGGGGCAGTGTTCCCTATTACTATAGCAACAGGAAGACATGGCCGCTTCAATCAGCATTTGGTTTCTCTGTGAGGAAAATGCATAGCAACTCCAGACCGAGAGTGGTGTAACTGTTGTACAAATGAGAGATAAAGTCAAGTGTAAGCCGCTTTGACCTCCTGTGTGTCCTTTTGTCCTTCTAACCATATAGCCCTTTGGAATTATTATTATACTTTTATTAATATTCTATAAACAAAATTTGGTAATAAGACATTTTTAATAGCATTTTGACTATTTTAGTTGAGATGAAATGGATGGCTGGTAGCCTACTAAGTTTTTCTCTGGTTGAATACACTAAAGTGGATGACATTTATAGAAGAAGTTGCTCATTTGTAAAGTTATAGGTTGCAACCTTCTTATTATAATTATTCAAGAGGTCATGTATTATGGAGGATATAATGGTCCTCTGTAGCTCAGCTGGTAGAGCACGGCGCTTGTAACGCCATGGTAGTGGGTTCGATCCCCGGGACCACCCATACACAAAAAAAATGTATGCACGCATGACTGTAAGTCGCTTTGGATAAAAGCGTCAGCTAAATGGCATATTATTATTATTATTTATAATAAATACTGAAAGTGGCAGGTGGCCTCTATCTCCTTACTACTTGTACGCACGTATACAAAGTAACATTGGATCTATGACAATTAAAAATCATTGGACAATTCATAATCGACCAATAAGAGGTTTAGCCAAGATAAACCAATAGTGTGCCCACAATCTTACAGCATTCGGCGAATCCCCTGCGTATCTGATGCAACAGGGCTGCAACAAAAGCTACACATTCGACTACAAGACTGTATCCTTCCTCCCGGGTGTGAGACTAAATAGTCCCTTATTACAGAAGGCTTTATGAAAGACATTCTCTGTTGGGGACAATTTATTTACTAACAAGATATTAGCTCCGAAATATTATCCATAAAAATACCATGATGCAGAGGTGAATTACGTTTTTGAAACCCAAGTGTGGTTGTAGAAATGTAAATATATATTATTATTTAAATGTAAATAATTTAAAGTTACATCGCTTTCTTTCCATTTTATTACAATATGACTTTTGAAAATAACAGACCGTGGAAAGTCCCTTGGATATGACGCGATAAAAGGGGTGAAATGTAAACTGCGGATTGATTTGTGACAGTGTGATACGGTCCGGCTTTAGGAGTTCCAGAAGAAGTAGCAGATTCCTAAACTTTATGTTTGCAACTCACCTCTTCATAACACACCATATGAAGTGTTCTTAGGACGATATGGCTTATTAAATTGACCTCACTGTCACTCTAGTTATTGTGCTTTGCATTTGCAACGCACTTCCAAAGAACTATCCTATTGAGAAATAATGGGGTAAGTGAAATGATTTGTTCTCTTTATTGTTGTGAAGTATAATGTGTTGAATATGTTAGTTTTGACATTGTAATTGTTTTATTAACCATTTCTGAAATGATGTTGGGGTTAGTGTAATGACCTTTTAGTCTAATAGAGATATTTTGAATCTACAGTTTTACAGTAGCCTACTGAGCTCAGAAGTGAGAACTGCCACTGAAAAATATTTTATCAATGGGCTACTAGTCAAATCTATATTTTTCAAATGTAGAAATGTTCTATATGTTAAAAACATTAACATATAACAATAGTTGGAATGAGAGGAAAATAAGAATACTTTATAAGAATACTTTTAGTATTTGATCTATAATACACATAGGCACATAACTAACATGAAAGTTGTTTACTATACTGTAGACGCTGCTCTCCTGGACTGTGATATGGATTATAACAAATACAATTTGATATGTTGTTGAGATATTATTGTTGCATTTTATGAGGGGAGTGAGGTTTCGTAGAGACAGTGTTATATAGCCCTGAAACATATTTCCTAACCTAACTTATTTTCCTAAAGTAGTTTCATAATGTGAAAACTGAGATGTTGGTTTATGTATGTAAAATGCAATTATCAGGAATCTTCAACCATTTTTGGTCTGTGAAGACTATCTGATAATTGTACAATTTGAACAGGTGTTTTTAGTGTGTGGTGGTTTTGGGGGTGTGGCAGTGGGGTGAAATGGGGTGTTTGGGTGTGGAGTAGAGTTAGTTGTTGATTATTTTCATTTGTATTTTTTGTCATTCACAGGTCTTCAAGTGCTCCCAGCACTCTGTTCATAGGGACACTTCTCTTGAACCCTCGCACACTTAGTGCATTTCACAATTTTGACCGAAATAAAAGACACGATGGCGGCATCGATCCTTCGCAGGAAAATTCCTCTTGTTTGCACGGTCGACCTCATCATTCCCTCTCCCCAACAAGCTAACGACAGCCAATCCTGGGGAAGGAAGGGGGAGGAGTTATCGGAGAGACAGCACATAATTGGTGAGTTACGGCAAGACGCTTTTTTATTTTTCCACATTACAGGAGGAACCGCACTGCAGTACAAGCTAAAGTCGTAAAGTGAGTTAAGCTAAGTGGATATTTTACCAATGAAGACGATGGCGTTCAATCATTTTCAAATGATCGGTTCGTTTCACAAGGATATGTTTTGTTCTTTTTTTTCAACATCGTCTTCGTTTTGAGATTTTTCTACATTTATCATCATTTATCGTCTGAAATTAAAGGACAGATTTTTTAAAATCCTCATTTAATTTAAATTACATTTTTGTGTTCATTTAAATTCAATATTTGTAACGTACATTTAATTTTTCGTAGGTGATGGTCAGACGGACTGGATGACGGAAAAAGTTGATTTGTCTTCATTCCAGTCGACTACTGAATCCTCTTCTAGCTCATCTTCGCCGCCCTCACCCTTGGAACATGATGTTAAGGTGCACTCTGACTTGGAGGTCATGACCTCTCTTTTGCAAGAGGAGCTTACTCAGCTTGAGGATTACTTCCGGTCTGAGTCGACTTCAACCAAATTGGACAAATCACCAAAATGTGACAAAGGCGCCCAAGCAATGGGTGCCCATTCTTACTACCAGTTGCCCTATGCTTCGTACAGTGGCAACCAATCAGAAACCAGCCCACTGGTTGTTACCCTGGCAACAGAAGAACTTGACCGGGTGAGCTTCTGTGGTGGTCCCATTGGAAGACACAAAATAGAGAGACCAGCCCCATACAACTATCATCATCGTTCATACAATACTTGCCGAAGAATAGTTTCAGATGGTGTCAACAAAGTTGGAGAGGAACTTGAGCATGACACCTGGAGTGCCAAAGGAAGTTACTCAGGAAGCACAGAGGTGGCTGTTAACCACTGTTCTACATTGAAGAGAGTTGGGAAGAGCATTGGCAGTGTAAAGAAAGTCAGAGGTGTATCGTTGAAGGAAGAGGAAAGTTATTGTTTTACAGAGGACGTTATTTGCAGTGAAGAGATGACCAGAGGTTTTTGTATGGTTGGGTCCTTCGATACCCACCCCAAGAGAGAAGGACAGTTGATCCATGGTATGAAGGTTAGTGGCAGTGGTTATGATGGTATGGGGCTGGAGGTCTTGCATTGCAACAAAGATGGTGGACTCTCTGGAACTATTCCTCAAGAGCCAGAGGCAAACGACGGCTATTACCACCACCACCTGAACGTTGCTCATACAGAGCCTTATAATAGCTTTATAGGTGAAATCGAAGAGCCTACACAAGTACATGGTATAGAGCCCCAGCATGGCCACTACCTCTTTCCAGAATGCCTTGGAGACCAAAGCTACGAATATCTGTCAAGAGGAGAGAGCGAGGTGCCAATGGTGGGCTTGCCCATTCACAGGCAAGCAGCACAGAGGCTAAAGGAAGATCCATGCTCCCTGAGCTGCCTCAAACCAGGCCTTGTCGCTGTCCTTCTGGAAGGACATACCGGAGAACGGAAGCAGAAGAAGAGAGACCAGAACAAAACAGCTGCTCACAGGTATGTTGTGAAAAATGTACTGATTTTCTCTGTGTTATAATGTTTAAATAAAAACTGTGATGATAGAATGTTTGGTCATTCTTTAGAGTCTGACCAAAGAAACGTCTGTGCACATTTTAAGTCAGCGGGGAAACTCATCTTTTAAAGTTGAAAATCAGAACTTTTTTTGTAGACCTTCATCTCTGGTTTGAATGGGATCACTGTGGCATTTCACTGGTGTGATAGTGCTACCATAATTGCTTAGATATACATGTGTTTATGAAATATGAAATCTGAACTCTTCTAATAGGTCCTGCTATCTTGGAAATCTAGTAGTTGAGGGATGAGGGTGGGAAAACATGTCCATGTTAAATTCATGTCACTAGCTGTCTCTATCTCTTAGAGACAACTGATATTGAACTGCCAGCTTTCTGTAGCTCAGTGACCCAGACAAGTCAAGGGAGCTTCGACAAAGATACAGAAAGTCCTGTGGTAGGGTTTTCCGGACAGATGGGAAAAGGGGGGGGTTCCAACGGTAGGTGCAAGCTGACCCTGGTATTTTGTAAACTGCAGGTATCGACTGCGTAAGAGGGCGGACCTGGACATACTGGAGGAGGAGCTTCATGGGCTGGAGGGACAGAACCGGGAGCTCCGCGACAAGGCGGAGTCAGTGGAACGAGAGATTCAATATGTCAAAGATGTACTAATTGAGGTCTACAAGGCACGTAGTCAACGCCTAAAGCAAGATGCCAGTGCCTAATCTCCCACCCACAACACCAGCACTCACATCAACAGCACTTGTTTGTTCAAAATTATAGTTGCATGATTTTGGTAGTTTTTCTAAAAAATAAAATAATATAATCGCTTTATTATTGTTACAGACAATAAACAACACAATGTACCTTTCCAAATGTTTCCCTGAATGACTTCAGGTCCTAGTTAGTGAATTTAGGAGGAAACTAAACCGTCCGTGACCACTGTGACACTGACCTGCACCTATAGCCTTGTAATGTTTGAGCTTGCATTGATTGACCGTTTTACTGTCATTTTCTAACAGTAATAGAAGCGATTGAATTATGTCTGTGTTATTGACACACAATGGCAGCATAAAGGAAGGAAGCTTTATTCTGTGATGTTGTATGTTTTGTTTTATTTATTCATTTAAGTACCCTTTTGCTTTGTCCACTCATTTGGTATAAGGGATTGAAGAAGGAATGTTTAAAATGCTGTGGAAAAGTTCGTTAATAAATGCTGCAAACTACTAGAACATGTTATTGCTAAAATGCTGATGTAGAACTTGTAGGAAACCACCAAGACCTTGCTAAAGTACCCAATGCATGTTTGATTGTTAAAAAAGCATGATTGATTGTTATTTGAAAATGACAATATTCTCTTAACTATATGGCTTCCCGATTTAATGATTTCCATAGAGCATTTTCTCATGTCATGCTTTAACTGTTTTAGTTTCATTAGCTGACAGCTTCTACAGAGCTTTACCCTCAAATATTTAATCATACTCAGGATGTTTGTCCACTTTTACATAATGGGGAAAATATACATGGCATTCACTGTTTTATCATCTTGCTTTTTTTCAATGGCTGTATTTTGCGAAAAAAACAATCACCTGTTGACACAACAATAAATTGTTGTTGGGCATGTCTTCATGAGAATCTTATTTGATGAATATGTGTTGAATTCAGGTCAACTTGTTTGATAGATGACGATAGCTGGTCAATATCAGGTAAATTGCAGCCAAATAAACTAGTTATGTTTTTATCATTTATTCTTTGTGGACTGTTATTACAATACATTGTTATTACACTATTATAGAAGTCAGACACAGTTTACATCAGTGTTGCTTAACCCATTCCTGTGGAACCCACAGAGGGCAGGATTTCCAAGCCTTGGTCATGTAGCTTAATGTATCTTCTTGAAGACTTGTTAACGGTGGACTCGATGTCTGTCAAAGTCCAGCGAATAAACGACAACGTTGTCAAGGTAGATCGAGAGGGAGTCTCAACATCGGCCCAGACACCGCTGTGTCTGGAGCATCACACAGGCCGTAAAGTATCCGCTCAAACACGTAGAAACCCAATGGGGTGGTAAGGGGCATTGCAGGGGCATTATACAGACCGAAAGGTACCCGCTCAAACTCGTACGTGGTAAAAGCTGTCCTCATAATCTGCGGCTCTAGTCTGGTAGAACCAATGTGATTGCTGCATTCACCATTCTATTTCACTCCACATATTACAGAAGGGTGGACGCTGCGATCAGGCTGGTTTCACCAGGCTATCGCGGATCCATCTCGACCTGCCAATATGTCGGTGTATAGTTCTGAAGGAATCAGATTGTTGTAGCAATATGGCCGAAACCCTGACCCCGATAGAAAGGTTAGGTGTAGTACTGTATCACCATTTTGTATACACCTATTCAATTCCTTCATATCCCAATAGACTATGCATTCTATTTGGGCTGTAGTCTCAAAGTGATAGACAAGAGTAGGAAGGCGAGATGCCCCTCCCTTCCAGGGGCGGCCTGTTCAATAGGGCGATATGGGCGACGCACTGCCAAACGGGAAAAGGAAGGGATTTTTTTTCTAATCAATTATATCACGGCAACAGTAGTTATCAGTGTTGTAATCTATACGTCTGATCTGCCACAGTGCCACACTGCCACTAAATGTCGAATCAGGCTAAAGTCGTGCTTCAAATGGCTCCCCCCCCTTTTGGGGCGATTTCAGTCAGGTTGAAAATCGCCCAGAAGTCTCTCATAGCCTCTAATGTAAAATCTATTTTTTTCAAATTTCAGAGCCTTCAATACAATCTCTATGGGTGTCTGAGGGCTTGCACTTACGCACTTTCGTCATACGTAACGTAACGTAACCATGAACGTAACTGAGAAAAGAGCGGATTGTGTCTTTGAAAGAAGTTCCTTTTTGTCGGCGAACAAATGAAGATAAATTGGCAACGAAACAATTAGGACCTCCCAGACCAAATTTAATAATTCAACAGGTTTCTACTAAAGGCGGAAAGTCCTACACCCGAGGATTTTCCAAAAATTGGTACGAACGGAAAAATAACATTGCCACTCAACTTGATGAGGGATACAGGCTAGCTGTCCGCCGCCACAACGATGAGGTTAGTGTTGATAATCACAAGTTTACTGGAGAACTGAGACCAAGTAGAGACTTTGGACAGGGTGGATATGGTATAATAAAGGCAGTTTATTCAGAGGTAAAGATATCTGGAATCGCGTGCACGGACCCGTTCGTCAAACTCTTAGGGAGCTATAAATTAAGCCCCATTACTTACCATATCAGATAAGAGAAATTGCTGCAGCTACATATATTTTACATCCTGGCCCTACATAGTTCACTATTTGCATCACTTACCAAAATATTACATGTGGTCATATATGCTTGGAAAGTGGAGATGCCATAGAACGTCAAAAAAGTAAACATTGCTGGAGACACATTGCCGTTTTGGAGAAGACATCGCGTTTGCTAGCGAAGAGATTTGTTGTGGCAAATGAACTTGGGCTGGGAATTGCCAGGAACCTCACGATAAGATATATGCATCAGCATTGCGAGTCTCATGATTCTATACGTATTGCGATTCGATACTGTGATTTTATTGCGCACCATATGTCTGTTGCAGAGGGATCAGAAAGCCATGAGAACGAGTTTTGATCAGTCATGGAAATAAAAGTGCTGAAAACAAATTGGCTCCCAATGTGAAAAGATTGAGAACAAGCTATGAAGGAACAATAATGGTGTTTTGGTGCAGGTACAGCCAACTAGCGCTAAAATATTGCGATATTGTCAATACAGTATATCGTAAAGTATCACTATGTAACTCGATTTCTTTCACCCCAATCCCTCAAATTAACGGTAAATAACTGAATTGTTTGCCCCACATTTAGCTAAGATGATTAGCTAGCCAGCTAAAATGTTTTATTTAGTTAGCAGTCGCATCTACAATAGTTTACTGTCAATAACATGTCTCCAAAAATGACGTGGTGTCTCCAATTGTGTTGACATTTTACAATTGCGATGCGCATCCATGAGTATCCACTTTCTGTAGCTCAGCTGGTAGAGCATGGCGCTTGTAACGCCAAGGTAGTGGGTTCGATCCCCGGGACCACCCATACACAAAAATGTATGCACGCATGACTGTAAGTCGCTTTGGATAAAAGCGTCTGCTAAATGGCATATTATTATCTGAAGAGAGCCCCGAAACATTGTGTGCAGACATTTTATGCAATAAATGAAGTAGGTTGAATCTAGTAGTTCTGATCTTCTGATTGGTCCTGATGAGTTGGGCGAGGTCCCCTCCAGGCTACTGTCACTGTTGCATTGGCTCTGAGTCGGGTTCTCTGTCTTCAAATGTTCAGCCTAAGAGAGGGGATTTTTGTGTGTGTGTGTGTGTGTGTGTGTGTTTAACAGTGATGATGTGTGTGTGTGTGTGTGTGTGTGTGTGTGTGTGTGTGTTTAACAGTGATGATGTGTGTGTGTGTGTGTTTGTGTGTGTGTGTGTGTGTGTCCTCAGAGCAAGAACTCGTGAGTTGGAAGAACTGAGAGGCCTATGGCGTGGGTGTTGTCCTTGGCCACCTGCTGACAAGGCTGACAAGATAGGACCCTTTTGTCCATTGTTATTGGATAGGAACAGAACTTATAACCAGCTCCTGACCTAAATAGATCTTAGCACAACATTTTACTCAACATATCATATTCCATATTCACTATAACAAATATATTTACTACGACATTAGCAAGAACCGCCACATCCTCAGCCGGCTAATCCAGTGTGTGAAGTTTTGCGGAGTGTTTGAGTTAGCTTTGCGAGGCAAAGATGAAACTGAGGGCTCCACCAACCCTGGTAAGCCAACACTTTTGAGATCAGTCAATAAATGCTTCTGGTATTGACTTATATGCTGCCCCTGTCTTCATGTTGTTGCTGGACATATCTTTTTTAAAATGTGTGTAGGTCACCTAAATCATCAGAAAAATTGCCCCCCCTGAGAATTTTTTCAGGAGCCGCCACTGCTCCCTTCTATGTCTGTTTTGAATCAATATTTCACTCCCTCTGGTCTGGTTGGCTGCATTGCAGGGAGAGTAAGTACATCTATTTTTCACCACTAGAGGCATGTACAGTAATGATTGATTACGCATATAATGATGAAAATGAGTAAAGATTCTGTTCACAATAAAGTATTGTGTTTTTCAGGGAAATATGGGACATTTTACAGGGAAATAGTTATTGAGTGGCGCAGTGGTCTAAGGCACTGCATCGCAGTGCTAACTGTGCCACTAGATCCTGGTTAGAATCCAGGCTCTGTCGCAGCCGGCCGCGACCGGGAGATTCATGGGCGGCGCACAATTGGCCCAGCGTCGTCCAGGGTAGGGGAGGGAATGGCCGGCAGGGATGTAGCTCAGTTGATAGAGCATGGCGTTTGCAACGCCAGGGTTGTGGGTTCGATTCCCACGGGGGGCCAGTATAAAAAAAATATGTATTCACTAACTGTAAGTTGCTCTGGATAAGAGCGTCTGCTAAATGACTAAAATGTAAATGTTAACACAAACACAATTTCTGTAATGCTTGCAAACAGTCACTATGGTAGTAGGAGATCATACTCTCTAGTGTAAAGTCAGGGAGGAAAACAGAAAGGGTCAGACATACATACAAACAAACATACATCAACAATCTGTTGGTCTCATAGTTCTACATAACGGTCAATACAACAATCATGACTGGAATGAAGCTAAAGTACTAATCTACTGCATACCCAGAGGCCAAAGGCACACTGAGGAAGACTGGTATTTGCAGTGACAACAGAAGTTCCCAATCTCATCAACCACCACTAGGAGGGTGTGTGAAACCTCTCCATATCTATACTACAGGGGCCTCTGAAAGTATGAGGCAATCTTACACAATTCTTACAGATCAGAGAGAGAAAGAGGGAGTCGCTAGAATGTGATTACATTTGTATTGATAGTATAGCACATTTGGAGGTCCATTCAGTTACAATTGCAGTTAGATCAGTAAAGACTATCAATTTTATTGTTGTGAAAAATAATACATTGTTCACATGATCAGACAGACAGAAACCTGAACAGAAAAAAAATATTCTGGGCAGTAATTAATGTCTTCACCACAAGATGTCCAGCTCAGCATTGAAGACCCTCAGAAGTGTAACATCTTATAAACTCAGGCATCACTAAACCCAAAGATGTGAGTGACAGCCCATCATTTGTTGAACAACCATCCTCCCGCAAGACTAAAACAAACGTATAGCTGCTTGCGTTCGTATCAGTTATCAGCTTATTCGTTGGTCAACAAAGCCTCGAGACAACCAGTCTAAATTAGAATTGCACACAAATGCAGAAATAAAGAACATGGGTGGCTATATTGGCGTGACTAATGTTACCGTTGGCTGAATCCTAACCTCATCCCCAGCCGGCTCTCTCTCTGTTGACCCGGAGCATTGGGACGAGGTTAGCTGAATCCTAACCTGAGATCTGTGTGCTTATCTTGATTATTTTAGTTAGAAAATCTCCAATAAATTCCAAAAGGTCTGAGTTGTGCATATATCTAATTCAGCTCCTTCTGAAAAAAAAAACACCTGTTTCCATTATATTGATCAAATGTATACAAATACATATAAAACCATTACATACCAAACACCAGAATACAGATAATGGTCTCTTTATAGTGGGATAAATAGTTACTTTACAGATGTAGGATCTTAATTTGTT